ATAAGAAATTACTAATGAATGAAAAGATACCTCATGCTTATGGATTGGAGGAGTTAATATTGTTTATGATGCCAAAGTACACAGTTTGATCTACAGATCAATTACAATCCCTTACAAATGATGAATGACATTTTTTGCAGAAATATAATAATGCATCAAAACTCCACATGAGGTAACAAGGGATGATTCATAATATCGAAAAACAACTTTGGAAATCTCACACATTATGATTTCAAAATTCTCTGTAAAGTTACACTAATGCAGTCAGTGTGGTGTTTCTATAAATACATAAAAGACCAGTGGAACAGAATGGAGATCTCAGAAAACAATCCCCACATTCATAGTTAAATAATTTTGGGCAATAGAGCCAAGACCATCTAATGAGGCAGGGGAGATTTTTCAGCAAATTCTGATGGGAAAACAGGATATCAGAATGCAAAAATAAAGTTGGATCTGTATTCTGCACATGAAAATTAGCTCAAATGGATCAAAGAGCCTAAACTATAAAATTCTAAGAGGAAAACATAGATGAAAAGCTTACTGACATTGTATTTGGCAAGCAATTCTTAGATATGGCACCAAAAATATAGTTTAAAAGAATACAAATAGATAAATAGGATTCCATCAAAATTTAAAATGTTTTGCATCAAAAACATTATCAATATGGTGAAAAAGAAATACAATGGAGAAATTATTTGAAAATCACATATAAGACAGGCAATTAATTTCCATAATATGTAAAGAATTATTTTACCTGAATAACAAAAATAAACATCCTTATTTTTAAAATTGCAAAGCACTTCAACAGACATCACTCTAAAAAAGATACCCCAAAGTCTAATAGCATCTAATAAGATGCTCAAAATCAATAATCCTTAGGAAAATATAAATTACAACCACAATGAGATGATGCTTCACAACCATTGGGATGGCTATTGTTTAATAAATAATATGTAAGTAAAAAACTATTAATAATATGTAAGTAAGAAACTATTAGATATAATTACTTATTATGATTCAATATTAATGCTTCCCACAAGTAAAATATTAGTTTTCTTCCTTAAGTCTTTTCTTACTACAGTTTATGCTTCAATACCATAGTTGGATAAATTTCATCCAAACTGCTTTCTTTATGATATTTCAATTCCCTCACATTTAAATATTCCTTTGTCTACAAGATCAAGTCCTAAAATGTCTACTTTGTTATTTTAGGTCATATGACAATCTGCTATTAACAAATTGCCTTTTCAAATTATATTTCAACCCAAACTTTATGCTCTCATTTACAAAGCTTTCTCCTTTTACCTCCTTGGCCTTTTTCTAGACCAGAAATTCCCACCTACTTTGGTAGAACTACAAAGTACAGGTTATTTTCAGCAATATACCACACTGAATGTCTCCCATTCAAAGAACTTACCTACGGGAAAGGAAATACTTATTGCAATAGAGTTAACATTCCGAAAACTATTAACACCTTTCTATTGGAGTTTTCCCTGTATATTTTGAGGAAGTAAAGTCTTTATACTTTTGATGATTGATCTGATTTTAGAAATTATAAACTTATTTTCATTTGATTCTGGTAAATGAATTGACTGATGTAGCTTAGGATAAAATTTCCTTATTCTTTCATCACTTTTGTCTCTATTTTGTGTGATTATCACACAGTAAGATATCATACTTTTAAGGTTTTATGCTGACTACAAAATGTATAAGGAGGATTTTTTCCAAAATATTTTGAGTGTAAGAGCAAGTAGAAGCCAGCCAGAGTGGCACATGCCTGTAATCCAAGTGTCTCAGGACACTGAGTCAGAAGGATGGTGAGTTTAAAGCTAGCCTCAGCAATTTAGCAAGACCGTAAGCAACACAGTGAGACCCTGTCTCTAAATAAAATATTAAAAAAGGGCTGGGGATGTGGCTTAGTAGTTAAGTGCCCCTGGGTTCAATCCCCAATGCCGAAAAAGGACTAATCCACTGAAAAAAAAAAGATTAACAATTATTTGGAAGATTACTTTCTTATAGTTTAAAAATCATTTTGTTTCTGAAACAATGAATAACCAAATAATCCCACATAAAAATAAATAGAAACAATTTACCTTTCCACACAGTCAGAAAGCCTGGAGCAATGGTTAGAAGCAGGGGCATCATGACCCCCTACAACATATAAGAATCCATTGTATGTTGCAACTCCCACACCTCCTCGTCTTTTGGACATTGGAGAACACAGACTCCACTTGTTAGTATGTGGGTCAAAATATTCCATTGATTTGAGGCAGGAACTTCCATCACGTCCACCAATAGCATATAACCTAGAAAAAATACAATTGTACATGTGTGTGTGTGTGTCTGTGTGTGTGTGTGTGTGTGTATAAACAAAGTGCATGCCTAGAAATGAAAGCAAAATAACCTCATATAAAGTAATTCAATTTTCTGACATTTCTGCTTTCATATTCTAAAGTCCCTAAATATTTTGTAACAGAGTTTGTGAATGGATAGTTATCTGGGGGCAACTGTTAAGGTCTATCCTACCCTAATCCTCTCTCCTTCACTATTTTCATCAAAATAACTTTAACAAATAGATAAAAGAACCCATGGGAAATTAACAGAAAAGGGAGGGAGATACCAAAAGTTTTGGGAAAATGGTTCCAAAGACCAACCTTAGTAAACTTGCAATTTTAGTTAGGTCCAATTGCTCAGTATCAGAATCCCTGTCATGAAGCATTTTATTTATTATGAAAATATCTATCACTAAGAAGCTATTAACTTAATAAATAATTAAAAGGATAGAACACATAAGCTGTATTTTTCTAGCTTGGAAAAGAACTAGACTATAGAATTTCTCCCATTAACTTTAAAATGCCAATTCTTTTGATGAACAGTATTTTTAATCTAATTTATTCTTGTAACAATAAAGATGATAAACATTTATAGAACCATATGTCTATAAATACCCTTCATAATGAGTTTTAAATAACAGCAACTCATCAAAACAAAATTAAATGAATCAAAGTTGATAATTTCAACCTGTTCTCTATAGAAGATCGTATTACTGAATCATCTGACATCATTTGGGTCATACCAGAGATAGATTTAGATGTAATTTAAGCTCTAAAACATTGTAAATATGGATCTCCTTTAACATATAAAAATTTTCTGTGTCTTTTTGTGCAATATTTTAAAATCCATTTGTGTTGAAATTTCATTGAAATCATTTATATGTTGAGGTATTGGCTTTATAAATAATTAGTACAGAGAGACAAGGCTTTTTCTTGCCACTGATCCAACCTATTGTTTGAAATTCTTTTTTTAATATTTTCAATTTCTTTATTTTTTAAAATTTAATTGATTTTATTTTTTAAAATACACAACAGTGGAATGTATTATAATTCTTGTTATACATACAGAACACAATTTTTCATATTTTTGTATATAAAGTGTGTTCATGCCAATTCATGTCTTTATACATGTGTTTTTTTTTGCATTACAATGCTTATTACACATTATCATGCAAACCCTTTCTATATGCTTATCATTTGTCTCCAAAGGTTCCATCTCAAAAAGCCTGTAACTATCTGGTAACAATTCAATCACTTGAAAACCTTTAACATTATCAGTTTTAGTATATTGGCTTGCTCTCCTGGGGAAGTGATCAAGCAAAGGCAAATATTGAGGAAGAGTAAGACTAGGTGGGATTCCATAGTTGGAAACCCTGAACACTCAGGAAAGCAACTGTAGAACCAAAAAAAAAAAGCCCCCAAAGAAACAAAACAACTACAAAAATACTTTTGTACAAATAGAGGCAGATAAAATTTTGATAAATCAAGAGTAAATATTAGGGCTGGAGTTGTAGCCCATTGGTAGAGCTCTTGCCTAGCACATCTGAGGAACTGGATTTGATTCTCAGCACCACATAAAATAAAGGTATTGGTTGTATCCATCTACAAATAAAAATATTTTAAAAAAGAGTAAATATTAATATAAAAGTGTTAGCTTCTTAAGAGTAAAAATAGACCTGATTGCTGCAAAAGTGAGTGTCAGATTTATGTTCCTATACCTCTACTGAAGATCCTGTTTTAATATAGATTCTGACACAAAGATTCAGCATTACTGAATGGACATCAAGGAATGCTGATGTTGCCTGTCCTAGGACCACACTCTGAATAGCAAGGGTCTACAGAATATTTTATCACATATGTATTTTAAACAAATACTTTAATTTTAATGACTGGAAAGTTATAACAAAATGCTTTTATGATAGATAACAAACATATTCTGAACACTTAAAAGGCTTATTTATTGATGGATCATGTTTATGAAGTTCTGTATTACATGACTTGGGAACAAAGAATATGTATGTGTGGACTTACTTATTGTTTAATGCAACAACACCAACTGTGCTTCTAGGAGTAGACATACTGGCCACATAATTCCACTGGCGTCCCTCAGGATCCCATCTTTCTACAGTATTTAGATAACTCCACCCATCATGACCACCTACAGCATACATTGGTCCTTCAAGTGTGGCTACACCTATAAGATAAATATAGTATTAGGATTCAACTAAGTGTCATTCACAATATGCACTGTTTCATTTCACGAGCAACCTAATACTCAAAAATTGCTATATTCTCAAATGGTTTTGCCTTCATACAAATAATTTACTCAATTTGATCCCAGGCTAAATATAGTCTTCTTACCCTAGAAAACTTTTAGTTATAGCTACTTAACCATAGAAATTTATTGTTGCTACTGAAGTCAAAGAAGTCACAGAATGCACCATTTCTAGGTATGCAATAAAAAATGGGAAACTGTTTTCTTTCTGGCATAAAGTCTATGTGTTATTTTAATGCAAGAGGTAGATAAAATATTCAATCTTAGAAAAACCTGGACTTCTAGACTGAATGTACCATATCTTTTTAACTCTTGTTATTTAATATATAGATAAAAAGAGTACTGTGAGATAATTAACCAGACATTGAGTTTTAAGATTTAGTTAGTAGTTTGTTCTCTGTTTCCTATCTGTTCTGAGAAATCATATCATTGAGTTTTTCTACACTTTATTCATCATCTCAATCCACCTTTCAGTGATGTATCTTCATCTTCTTTCCTACCTCTTTAATAACATTAATTATATTGAAAACAAACTTGCTCTGATTTTTTTCTACAGGACATGATTTCTTATCTGTAAGAACTATACTGACATAACCAATCTTAATAATCACATAGTGCATATGTGACAGAAACAATTTATCCGGATAATTGGTAGGGGTGATACCAGTCCTGGATCTGCCATATTTCAGCTATAAAAAGTTCATTATTAAAAAAGCCAATTCTTGTGGTGTTTTTTAATCACCATTATGACATCTCAAACATATGGAACCTAGTATGAAGAAAGATGTATCCTGAGAGATATTCAGGAGAATAAATATTTCCCACTATTCCATAAGTCCTTACTTCATTTATCTTAAACTTCTTGGAAACTGCTGGGCAATGTATAAGTTAAAATTGTTTTCAACCAAAGTGTTTCTCGGAAACAACTTTACCTTGGACCTGCATCCTAAGAGTTTTGAAGAAATATAGATTTGATTCTTGTGGGAAGATACATAATTCATCTAACTAGAAACAATATTTCTCTATCATCAAATGGTCTCCTCTCTATATTGAGCTTAGGAGAAAACTTCCTGTTGTAATTTTAGGTTCCTCAATAATATAACCTACCTAAAGTTGCTATCTTTGTTAAAATGTAATCCTCTTTTAAAAATGGTATAAAGGAAGCAAGATTAACAAGTATGTAATCTATTACATTTAAAGAGTTTCATGAGTTTTTACTATTTGCTTAAGCTTTTCAGCATTTAGAATCATTTTGATCTAGAATTTGACTAAAGTCCAAAAATGTACAACTATGGTTCATTTTTTTAAATATTTACTATACATTCTTAATGAATTATATAGCATTAATTCTTACCTAAGCCATGCCTGTGTGTTGACATGGGAGGCATGACAATCCAGATTTTGGCAACAGGATTAAAACATTCAACTGTATTCAAAGTTTTTAGACCATCTCTTCCTCCCACAACATAAAGCTTATTATCAATAACTGCAACACCAAACTGAAGCCTACGGCCACTCATGGTGCCAATATGCAGCCAATTGTTGGTCCTGAGGTCATATTTTTCAATTGTAGTGGTACCTGTTAAAGGAATATTTGACAGTGGTAAAAATCATTTATATTAAAAATTTTAAGTTGACATAATTCACATTATATTTTTATATCCACAACTTATAGTAAATTATCAGGGATTGCAGCTCACATTGCACTAAGTAGCCCAGATGACACTACAACATGACAGATAAAGCAAAGGGTAAAATACTTACCACTTTTGGGTCAAGATGGAAAAGTCAGAATAAAATAATACATATGGCACATATATTATATATTTATATCTCATTTGGCAATATTGTGCTATTGGTAGTACTAATACACGTATGAAATATTATATTTTATAAAACATACCTTGGGTTCTGTTATTCAACATTTGCACGTCTTTTACAGTTTTAGTTACGTATGAGCATTGGGTATGTTGATTTCTGCTCCACTGTTCAGGTTGTAAGGTGTGTGCGTGTGTGTTTTAAAAGACAAATGACTAAAGAACAAGGAACTGATACACACAATGTTTCATGGTAGTATCACAAATCATGGTTAAGAATATAGAAATCTGAGGTATTACTTTAGATTTTAACAAAATTTCATTTTTTACTCTATTACTAAAAAATGTTTATGGCCATGGGAAATTATCACTACCATCATTATAAGTAATAATAAATTGTAATTTCTGCAGACAATTCTTGATTATCATTCACTCATAATTGCTGCTGACACAATAAAAGAAGATTTTGCACAATATAAAGCCTTCTTTCAGTACTATGATGGAAAATGCTAAAATTATTATTCAAACCAATAGTGTTCCTAATATACTATGTGGAAAGCTTAGGAATTTTCATACCAATTGCACAAAGCCAAGAACAGAGATATGAAAATTACATTTTCTAATTGTCCCTTTACTGAGAGATTTGTGGAGAAAAAAATACATCAGTTATTATGGAAATAAAATTAATATCTGAAGTTTATTCTATGGCAGTTATAAGGCTATGGTATGGGGTAACATCAAGTCAAAATTTGATCATAGAACATATTAGATATTTTGTTAAATATGAATATTTTTGTTGGGTTACGTATTTTTATTAGATTATCATTTCTGCACCAAACATATTCAGATGACACTGTTCAAACTTGAATATCTACAAACACATATAGTTTCACTCCTGTTGCTTTCAACTAGTTTTCTCTGAATGTTTTCATATTTTTATATTTCCTTATTCCAATTTTCCAAAATCTTTCTCCATATATTGTATATGTACATATATGCATACATATACATACATACATACATACATATACATGAATACATTTGTATATATTAACTTCTTTACTTCTAATTCTTTCCATTAGTGGACTTTACAAGCTAGCCAATTTAGATTAGGACACAAAAGCTAGGCTGCATTAATTATTGATATCATGGTGATATTCATGTTGAAGTAATTAGGCAGGAAACTGTACAAAGCTACATTAATTATCTGTATACAGAAGGTTTACACTGAAAGTTGCAGACATTTGCCTTATGCCAGGTTAATATTTCCAGGAATTATATTAACTGTTAAATAAGTTTATCTCTCACTTCTCTATTGCCATCATGAATGTTTATGAACCAGTAGTTTGGTATCTTGAATTAGGGAGAATTCCCTATCCCATTTGCCCATACCTACTAATGTGCCAACTAATTAAGATGTAAATTCTCTAGCTAGTTTATTATGATAGCTTCGAATTTCATGGAAAAAATCATAAATTATATTTTGGCTTTTTTTGTATTTTTTCTGTGGAGATCATCCTTTTGCTGAGAATGTTACAAACACTGTTTCTCAGGTCATTTTGAAGCTCAATTGTTAATTATAATCTTAGCAAGAATGAACAAATCCCATTAAACTTTGTAATACTAATGGGAACACAATATTTCCTGCAGTTGCGAATATATATGAATTAATGATTTCCTTTATTTATTTTTAAAATGAACTAAAAGTGACTATAATCACATTTCCTTTGTCATCTGTAGTATTCTCTCTCATAATTCATTGCTTTTAATGAATAAATCATTACTAAATAGTTTGTATGTACAAAGTTTATCATTGGACCATTGTAAAATTTCAACCTTGTTCACACTTAGAACTTTTCTGATTATTCTTTCAGATACATTCTAAAAGTTATTATTAACCCTAGTCATTTGTGTGGTATCTATATTTAGCAATTAATTCTGAGTTTATTGCATGAGTCAGAGAGGAAATTAAAAGCAGAGAAAGTACTATATTTAATAGACATCAAAAGGTGAAAGCTCCAAAATATATATCTTTAAAAAATAACTGAAATAACACACAATAAGAGCTCTAATTATAGACAATATTTTTATAGTTTTATGAAAGAATGGTAATTGACATATTTTTCAATATAATATTGATTTATATAAATATATGTTACACTTTAATGTTCTTTGTTATATTTCTTTCTTTACCCCACTTTTTATTTTTCAATAGATTCTAAGGCATATAAGAAAGAGGGTGTTTTGCTATTGTTCTTCCTTTTAGAATAGTGGTAGTATAAAAAGACACACACAGAATTTGAGTCAGAATTCAATTTCTAGACTTTCTCCATGTTTGTCCTTGGGTTGGCTAACTAATATTAATATGTGCAAATTAGAAGTAATAAAACCTCTCTTGCAGTATGGTTGTAAGGTTTAGAAATAATGTTTGAAAATGACAATCAAAGATTGGGTACTCAAAAGTTAGAAATTTAAGTATTCTTCTAGCAATCTGCAACATCCCATAGAGACATTTACAGTGTCTCCACATAGTAGGAACTCAAAGGGTCTCAAAATAATGCTCTCTACTTTCCATAACAAACTGTGGTAACAGAGACTAGGGATTATAGGCTACCATTTTACGAAATTGAGTTGATAATTAAAATGATCAATGAACTAAAAATAATCTAAGGAATGAACTAAGAAAATACAGAAAGTGAAAAAACACTGCAATAAACAGATGGAGGTTATGGAGAAGAACTAAGTGGAAATACTGAAAATGAAATATTCAATAAATCAAATTAAAAATTTTATTTGAAAGTATAACCAAGAGATTAGACTATGTATAACACAGATTTTCAGGCATCAAATGAAGAATATAATCTTGAAACCCAGTAAACAAAAAAGAAAAGATGATAAGTGACTATGGCCAGAGTGTTCAAGAAAAATGAGATAGTATTAAGAAACCAAATCTTAGAATATTAGCTTAGAAAAAGATACTGAGATACAAACTAAGGGAATTTATCATACTTTCAGTGAAATAATATCAAAATATTTTTCAAAGCTTGGGAATGAGAGGGAAGTCCAAATATGTGAACCCTTTAGAATCCCAAATAAATAAGATCAGAAATTATTCTCTTCATGACACATTAAAATACCTATTACACAGAAAAAGGACAAAATTTTAAATCCACAAGAGAAAAATGGCAGGTCATATTTAGAGGTAAATACAAAATACTCCTCATCTTCAGTTCAGTCTCTAAAAGCCAGGAGGGATTAGAACAGTATATACCAAGTCCTGAGAGGTAATGCTTGCCAACCAGGATTTCTATATCAAGCAAAGCTATCCTTCAGAATTGAAAATTAGAAAAAACCCTCTAATATAGGCAGAAACTAAAAGAATTTTGACTACAAATTAAGTACTATTCCAAATATTCAATAAAATATTACATGTAGATATAATGAAAAACAAATGTTAGGGCCAGCAAATGGATGAATATTACAAGTATAGCCAAATAAAAGAATTAGATATTAGAAGTAAATTAAAATAGCATAATATGGTAATCATCTCTTTATAATAACACTGAATGAAAATGGTCTCAAATCTCAAATTACAAGATATAGACTGGCAGAATGAACTAGAAAACAAGATGTACCCATGTATTGTTTACAGAAGACTCACAGGCAAAGATAGCTATAGACTAAAGATGAAAGGATTATAAAAGATATATAATGAAAACATAGTACAAAGACAAACAAGGGTAGCTATTCTCATAACTCACAAATCTGATTTAGAATAAAAATTAATAATAAAAGACAGATAATTCATTATTTTTTAATAAATAAAACATTAATGAGTAGCTTGTATGTACAAGATAAACAAAGTTTATCATTTTACCATTTTTAAATTTCAACCTTGATCCTGCTTGGAACATTCTATTCATTGTCATCATTCTTTTATATACATTATAAAAAGTCTTTACCATAGTATACTGGTGAAGGAACTATTCAGCAAGAATAATGATTGTGAATATTTCTGCCTCAAATATTAGCACACTTACTAACATAAAGCAAACCCTACTCAATATATGATGACTCAGTTATCCCCAAATACAATACTACTGGGTTGTTTCAACAGACTTCTTTCACCAATAGATAGCTCATCCACACTAAAAAAAAAACAAGTTTCTCCAGATCTACAAAATAATATTAAATAAACAGACCTATCAGTCATTTATATAATATTTCATCCCTCTCCAACAGAGGTCACCTTCTTTTCAGATGCATATGCAATCTTCTCCAAAATATACCATATTTTAGGACACAAAGCAAGACTTAACATATAAAAAATAGAGATAATTTTTCATATTGTCAGAAAATAATGAAATAAAATTAGAAATCAATTACAAGATAAAAATAAATCATTTTAATACATGGAATTTGAATATTGTACTTTTGAAGGAGAAATGGTTCATAGTAGAAATCAGGAGGGAAACCAAACCAATTATTAGAAACAAAAATAGAGATAAAACATAATCTCCAGGACATTATGAAGCAGTTTTAAGAGGAAAGTTTATAATACTGAGTGTCTACATAAAAAAAAGAGAAAGACCTCAAATAAACAACCTAATGTTAAATCTCAAAGCCCTAGAAAAGCAAGAACAAACTAATTCTGAGACCAACAGAAGACAGGATATAATTAATAGTCAAAAGTAATGAAACTGAGAATAAAAAATACAAAGGATCAATGAAAGAAAGTATTGGTTCTTTGAAAAGATGAACA